GGCTATTTTTTGGTTGCAGCCGTCATTGTTGTTTGGTGGGCCCGGGCTGGATTCAAACCCACCACCTTGGGTATATGTGGCTGGCCCCTTAGCCACTTGAGCCATAGGCGCCGAGCCAGTATCAGTCTTTTAAAAGGTGCAACATTCTATTATTTTATTTATTTATTTATTAAGACAGAGTCTCAGTTTGTCACCCTTGGTGACATCACAGCTCACAGCAACTTCCAACTCTTGGGCTCAAGCAATTCTCTGGTCTCAGCCTCCTGAGTAGCTGGGACTACAGGTGCTGGCCACAATGCCTGGCTTTTTTAGAGACGAGATCTTGCTCTTACTCAGGCTGGTCTTGAACTCCTAACTCAGGTGATCCACCCACCTCCGCCTCCCAGAGTGCTGGAATTACAGGCATGAGCCACTGCACCCTGCCCTGAATTACTAAGAGTATGCAAGGAAATCATGAAAATATTCTCATGTTTACAGATAAAATTACTGCTTTCAGAGAAAACTTATTGATCTGGAAGGAAAAGATTAAAAATAAAATGCAGGGGGGGCAGCGCCTGTGGCTCAAAGGAGTGGGGCTGCAGCCCCATATGCCAGAGGTGGTGGGTTCAAACCCAGCCCCGGCCAAAAACTGAAAAAAAAAGAAAAGAAAAGCAAAAAATCCCGCCCAAAATACAGTAGAAATGTTTGAACTAGTGAAAAGGTATAAATTAGATAAAAATCTTACTGAACAAAGTTCACAAACTTTAGATTTATTGTACACAACTTTTGAAAAATATTTTCCTACACCTTCACTTGACATAAAATCTCTGGATTGGGCGAGAAATCCCTTTGTTTTAGGTAATGTATGTCAGCAAATTTAAATATTACAGAAGAGGAAGAGTTAACAGAAATCAGAAATGACAGAGGATTGCAATGAAAATATTCAACAACAGATATTACCTTTTAGTTATCTCTCAAGGGTGAATTTCCAAATATTAAAAAAAAAGCAATAGAAATACTTCTTCCGTTCTCCACATCTTATTTGTGTGAAGCAAGTTTTTCTGCAATGAATAATATTAAAAACAAAAATCGATCACGGCTAGAATCCTTGGAAGAAGATTTAAGAGTATGCTTGTCTAAAATTCAACCTTGCAAAGAAGATATTCTAAAATAAGTCAAGCTCAGATATCTCATTAAATGTTAAATTGTAATAAATGGAAAAATAATTAAGCTTTTTAAAGAATTTTGTTATCTTTTTATTAAAAATTATAATTTAAAAAATTTTTTTAGCCATGATGGTGAATTTTGTTTGTGTTAGTAAATTAAGAAAATAAGGGCCAAGTGCAGTGGCTCATGTCTGTAATCCTAGTACTCTGGGAGGCCCAGGTGGGCATGGTACTCTACCGAGAGAATGACAAAGTGAGACTCTGTCTCAAGAAAAAAAAAGTTACGTTCTTTTTTTTACTCGTTTTTCCCACTAATCTAAGTGTGCCACAGAAGTTCAACTATAGGTTCAAGTGTGTTGTGTGATTAAAAGAGGTTGAAAAACACTGTTCTAGACATTACCAAATGTTTCCTAGGGGACAAAACTGCTCGTAGTTGAAAATCCCTGCTTTAGACTGAAAGACTTCATAGGCGGGAACACTAGGACTCAGTCTTCATGAACTCTAATTTTTTTTTTTTTTTTGAGACAGTCTCACTATGTTCCCCTCAGTAGAGTGCCATGGCATCACAGCTCACAGTAACCTCAAGCTCTTGGGCTTAAGCGATTCTCTTGCCTCAGCATCCCAAGTAGCTGGGACTACAGGTGCCCACCACAATATCTGGCTATTTTTTTGTTGTAGTTGTCATTGTTGTTTAGCAGGCCCGGGCCAGGTTACAACCTGCCAGCCCCAGTGTATGTGGCTGGCGCCTTAGCTATGGTGCCGAGCCATGAACTCTAAAATTACGGTATTCTTTGATATTTTTGAAAAGTAGGATAAGTATTTTCAGCAAGAGACCCACAAATGTAAATTTTACATGTATTATCTGGGTGTCAAATAACCAGCTGGGACCAGTCACATTTAGCTATATGTACAATACTTTATATCTTACAATGTACAGAATAGCAAAAGCTTTCATTTAAAAGCTTTGGAGACAAGTGAGTCTCAGGAAGAACACAGAATATGGTAGTGGCTTCATGCAAGATTACATCAATTCAATCTAACATTTAGCTTTTAAGACAGAAGAGTTGGCTCGGCGCCTGTGGCTCAAGTGGCTAAGGCGCCGGCCACATACACCTAAGGTGGCAGGTTCGAATCCCCAGCCCGGGCCCGCCAAACAACAATGATGGCTACAACCAAAAAAAAATGGCCAGGCGTTGTGGCAGGTGCCTGTAGTCCCAGCTACTTGGGAGGCTGAGGCAGGAGACTCGCTTGAGCCCAGGAGTTGGAGGTTGCTGTGAGCGTGATGCCATGGCACTCTACCCAGGGGGATAGCTTGAGGCTCCGTATCAAAAAAGAAAAGAAAAAAAAAAGACAGAAGAGTTACCAACCTAAACCTTTATGGGGAAAAGGACTGCAGAGACCCACCTGATTATACAGTCCATCATTTCATGAATTCTCTAACTGAAAAAATCTTTAAGTCGAATCTCAAAAATTCTTATTGTTAAAAAACAAACAAACAAACAAACAAAAAACCTATCAGCCCAAGCAAGAGTGAAATCCTGTCTCTACTAAAAATAGAAACATTAGGCTGGGTGTGGTGGCTCACATCTGTAGTCCTAGCACTCTGGAAGGCCGAGGCCAGTAGACTGCTTGAGCTTAGGAGTCTGAGATCAGCCTGAGCAGGAGACCCTGCCTCTAATAAAAATAGAAAAATTAGCTGGGCATTGTGGCAGGCTCCTGTAGTCCCTGAAAAATGCTCTGAACATATGCCTATTTTGCAGCATGGGAATATATTAAACACTTTATCCAAGTCCTTCTATCATCATGATCTCTTTGGTTGTCTATTAATGAATTAGTCTATTTAATGTTAAGCAGGCAGTATCCCGACTTTTTTCTTCTAGCAAATGTTCTATCTTCTCTTCATAGTTAAATTTAAAAAAGAGACCTCTTCTAAGACAAATTCTATGGCCTTTTCATTGAATAGAATTTTGGACTTTTCTGCTCCCTCTGACAATGCTCACTCTTCCACTGGATACTTCTCAGCTTTAAGGGACAAGCTGTATGGCCAATACAGTGCCAGAATCTTAAGAAATCTCATCACTTCTTTTGCACATCATTCATCCTTCTTGTTTCCAGCAGAACATAAAGGAAGGCCTTGTCCTGGAAGACCTTTTCACTCTCCACCAAATTCCACTCTTTTATAAAAAGGTTAAGGACACATTCTCTTTATGAAAATTTCCAATTGTGTTTGCTGTTTCCAGTAACAGAATCTTCCCGTAAATTTCTCATGTAAATACTATTGCATTTATTAGAATGCATACTTACCTCATTATAATCTATGCTCAGGAAAAGGGCTGTGTTTTCTTTTTCCAGAATTCAGTCAAAGGTTGAAGCATAGCACTTGGCCATCAGTAAGATCTCAGTTGATACTAGAATCAGGGTGCTTTCCAGATTTAAAATTAGGCTGGGCATAGTGGCTCACGCCTGTCATCCCAGCACTTGGGAGGCTGTGGCGGGTGGATTGCCTGAGCTTACAGGTTCCAGACCAGCCTGAGCCAGAGAAAGTCCTCGTCTCTACAAATAGGCAGGCGTTGGGGCGGGCGCCTGTAGTCCCAGCTACACTTGGGAGGCTGAGGAGAGATAATCGCTTAAGCCCAGGAGTTTGAGGTTGCTATGAGCTATGACGCCGGCACTCTTCCAAGGGCGACAAAGTGAGACTCTGCCCCCCCCCCCAAAAAAAAAGATTAATGAGAAGTAGGACCACCATCCAACCCTTGGCTTTCTGTCTTAGCTATTCAGTGGCCTTTCCGCCTCGGCCTTGCCCTCTAGGAGAGTCTAGCAGCATGGGAAGAGTCGCCGTCAGAAAATGTCACAGTATTTTCAGGAGCAAAATCAGAAAAAGAATATGAGGCCAGATGTCCTTCCTGCGGGCCCTGGGATTCTTTAACGAAGCAGACGCCATTCGATGAACGTGGATAGGAAAATTAGCAAAAACTTTTGTCACCCAAAACTTTTCTGAACCCTAGTCCTGTTAAATAAGCATGCTATTCTCTTGGTTCTTCCCCGCTTCGTGAAGACACTCACAGAGGGTAGGAGATCAAGATAAACGAACCCAGGGTCAGGACAGGTAATTTTAGCGCCTCTGATGTCTTAGAATCGCGCGAAGGGAGGGATGGGCGCACTAGGGCTAGCGGAAGCGATCGCCGCCGCTCTTCTCAATTTGGGGAGGTCTCCGGGACCTGGGACTCACCTTCTCTGAACCCACGAGCTGGTAATCGAGTCCACGTGGTTGCGCCTGGGCACGCCAGGAACCCTCGGAAAAGCCACCCACAGCCAGAGACCACAGTTCTAAGGGTCGCCATATTGAAAGCCAACCCCGACCTCTGCGCGTTTCCGTTTCCGGAACGGCGCTCACGCAGCCGCAGTGGTGGGGCGTGAGCCTGCGGCAAGCGTCCTACTGGCTGCGTTACTCTTGTTTCAGTTCCTTCACCTGTCTACTCTGGGCTAAGACGCGAGGTCTCTATGTTAATGCTACGTTTCGTTGGAAGGCTGTAAGAGAGGTCATCCAGCTCCTATTTGCCAGTTCCCGCAGTCTCCACGGTGACATTTGTTTCCTGGGAGGCTTCCTTGGTAAAATCGCTCTATCTTTGAATCTTTTCTCTGCAAGTCTGCTGTGGCTTTTCAACTTCTGTTACTGGGCTAGACCAGCCTGAGAGAGGTTGAAATGATTAGGAGCTCCGGCTCTGGAGTATCAGGCATCAGGCAGGCCTGGATGGAACTAATATCTCCTTCTTTCACATCACAGCTATCACACGGATCTTTGATTTACTTCTTCTCTTTAGCTGCAGGGTGCAAGATATTTCTTTCCCGGGCTCTTTAGCTACCTGGTTAACTTCCGCTTATTTCGGAACGCTCACCGCAAACTTTATTTCCACAGTGAAGTCTTTCATGACCAACCCGTTACTAGTTGTTAGCACCTGATACCGTTCCATCTTACCACTTATCACGATTGCAGTTTTACCCTTTTTTTTTCTTTTTTGTAGAGACAGAGTTTCACTTTATCACCCTCGGTAGAGTGCTGTGGCGTCACACAGCTCACAGCAACCTTCACCTCCTAGGCTTAGGCGGTCCTCTTGCCTCAGCCTCCCAAGTAGCTGGGACAACAGGTGCCTACCACAACGCCTGGCTATTTTTTTGTTACAGTTCGGCCGGGGCCGGGTTTGATCCCGCCACCCTCGGTATATGGGGCTGGCGCTCTACTCACTGAGCCACAGGCACCCGCCCCTTTTCTGTTTTTTTTCTTTGAGACAGAGTCTCTCTGTGTCACCCTCGGTAGAGTGCCATGGTGTCACAGCTCACATAACCCTCAAACTCTTGGGCTTAAGTGATTCTCTTGCCTCAGCCTCCCAAGGAGCTGGGACTACGGGCGCCGGCCACAATTCCCCGGCACAATTCCCCCTTATTTTTGTTGTTGTTGTCATTGTTATTCAGCAGGCCTGGGCTGGGTTCAAACCTGCCAGCCTTGGTGTATGTGGTGGGAGCCTTAACTGCTGAGCTATGGGTGCTGAGCCTCTTTTCTATTTTTCTTTTCTTTTTTCCTTTGAGACAGAATCTTAGTCTGTCGCCCTGGGTAGAATGCTATGGTGTCATAGCTCACAGCAACCTCAAACTCTTGGGCTTGAGCTATCCTTGTGCTTCAGCCTCCCAAGTAGCTGGGACTACCTCTCAAGTAGGTGCTCTGCAACACCAAACCTGGCTAAATTTTACGGTTGGTTGTATAATATATGTCTTCCCCACCGTAGTGTAAGCTCCATTAAAGCAGGAAATTGTTTTCTGTCGACTGTCTTATCTCTAGCAATTTGCATAGTGCCTGACACATAATAAGAGTGTGATAGGCGGGGGCGGGGCCTGTGGCTCAGTGGGTAGGGTGCCCGCCCTATATACTGAGGATGTCACGTTCAAACCCGGCCCAGACCAAACTGCAACAAAAAAATAGCTGGGAGTTGTGGCGGGCGCCTGTAGTTCCAGCTACTGGGGAGGCTGAGGCAAGAGAATTGCCTTAAGTCCAGGAGTTGGAAGTTGCTCCTAGCTGTGTGATGCCATGGCACTCTACCCAGAGTGGTAAAGTGAAACTCTGTCTCTACAAAAAATACATAAATTAAAAAGAAAAAAAGGAGTGTGATAGGCCAGGTGCTGTGGCTCACGCCTGTAATCCTAGCATTCTGTGTGGGTGGATTGCTTGAGCTCTGGAGTTCAAGACCAGCCTGAGCAAAAGTGAGACGCTGTCTATACTAAAAATAGAAAAGCTAGCTGGGCGTTGTGGCAGTCACCTGTAGTCTCAGCTAGTGGGGAGCCCAAGGCAAGAAGATGGCTTGAGCCTAGGAGTTTGAGGCTGTTGTGAGCTATGATGTCACGCCACTCTAGCCTGGGTCAGCAGAGTGAGACTCTTGTCTCAAAAAAAAAAAAAATTGTTATATATATTTGTTGAACCCTATTTTATAGGGTTGTTGTAAAGATTAGATGGGATGAAACATAAGTGCTCAATAAACATAAGCTAGTTAATAGGGAAGTTATGGAGATGGCTTTTCATAAGTTGGATGTACTTGCCTTGTAAAGAATCATATAGCACCTAAAAGAAATTAAAGCTGCCCAGTTTTTCCACTTTTAGATTTGCAGGACATATAGGCCGTTCCCTCGGAACTACATAAGAAAGGGAAATTGTTTATAGCTCAGTTCTTCACTTGGTGAAGGACATTCTTTCCCCCAGCCTCTGAGTAGCTGGGACTATCTATAGGATGCCATTGTGCTTGACTAATTTTTCTTTTCTTTTTTTGAGACAGAGTCTCACCCTGTTGCCCTGTTGCATCAGTGTACAGTTTGATATTATACAATCAAATATAAAATTTACCCAGGCGTGGTGGTGCAGGGCACCTACTTGAGAGGTAGTCCCAGCTACTTGGGAGGCTGAAGCAAGAGGATAGCTCAAACCCAAGAGTTTGAGGTTGCTGTGAACTATGACACCACAGCACTCTACCAGATCTTCCTAATAAACCTATAGGGGGATTTTCTAATTATCCTATTCTGATTTATTGATGAAAAAACCAAGCTTAAATCACCCAGTGTGTTCTCTAATGAAGGGCAGAGAAGGAGCTCCTTGTCTAGTTGGGCCTGCTACTTGGTGGGCTAGGAGGACGCAGGGCAGCTGCAGCATGGGCAGTATGAGTAGCATCCTTATAGATAGGGAGAGCAGGAGAAAAATGGCATTGAGGTACCTTAAAACATGGCTTTCGGTATAGACAGACCTGGTGGAAGGGAAACTTGAAAGGCCAGTCAAGATGGGAGAGACTGATATATGGATTAGAGTGGAGCAAAGGCTCTTAGCAGGGTATATATAGGTCTAGGTGTCCCAGCCAGGATCTGGAAAGCTTTGACTTTCCTTATGGCTTCCACTTTTCTTTGATATAGATAACCTTGAGCTACATACATCCTGTGTTTGTACCACCTCCCATGTTTCTTTACCATGGCCAACTTCTGGGGATCCAGTAGAGACCAGGGCATTTTCTTTTTCCTTTTTTTTTTGAGACAGAACCTCAAGCTGTCGCCCTAGGTAGAGTGCTGTGGCGTCACACCTCACAGCAACCTCCAACTCCTGGGCATAAGCAATTCTCTTGCCTCAGCCTCCCAAGTAGCTGGTACTACAGGCACCCGCCACAACGCCAGGCTATTTTTTAGTTGTAGTTGTCATGTTGTTTGGCAGGCTCGGACTGGATTCGAACCTCCAGCTCTGGTGTATGTGGTTGGCCCTTTAGCCACTTGAGCTACAGGTGCCACCCGAGACCAGGGCATTTTCTTTGCTTTGTAATGTCTTTTATTTTTCTTATTCTGTTTATTATTAGTCTGTACATGAGAATTCTGTGAGACTGGATTTTTCTCAAGAGACTAGCCTTAAAAAAAATGCCTTTTAATCAAAGTATTACTTATATTTAAAAAGTACACAATTGGCTTGGCACCTGTAGCTCAAGCGGCTAGGGCACCAGCCACATACACTGGAGCTGGCAGGTTCGAATCCAGCTTGGGCCCACCCAACAACAATGACAACTACAACCAAAAAATAGCCAGGCATTATGGCGGATGCCTGTAGTCCCAGCTATTTGGGAGGCGGAGGCAAGAGAATCATTTAAGTCCAAGAGTTTGAGGTTGCTGTGAGTTGTGACACCATGACACTGTACCTAGGGTGACAGCTTGAGATGCTGTCTCAAAAAAGAAAAAAAGTAAATAAAAAATAAAAAGTACACCATCATCAATGTGTAGCTTGATGAATTTTCAAAAGGAAGTGTACCATATCAACACGTAAAACATAACCAGCACTCTCGAACACCCCCTTGTGATCCTTTCCTAACACTACCTGACAAGGATAATCATTATCCTTTTAGCACCATAAATTACACTTTCCTGCATTTGAACTTTATATAATGCTACATTGTCCACTGAGAATATAGCACAATTTTTATTTTTATTTATTTTTTGTTGCCCCAGGCTAGAGTGCCATATCATCAACCTAGCTCATGCAACCTTGAACTCCTGGGTTCAAGCAATCCTTCTCCCTCAGCCTCTGAGTAGCTGGGACTGCCTACAGGCATACCACCTCGCTTGACTAATCTTTTCTTTTTTCTTTTCTTTCCTTTTCCTTTTTATTTTATTTTTTTTTTTGAGACAGAGTATCTTTATGTCACTCTCAGTAGAGTGCTGTGGTGTCACAGCTCACAGAAACCTCAAACTCTTGGGCTTAAGTGATTCTCTTGCCTCGGCCTCCCAAATAGCTGGGACTGCAGGCACCTGCCACAATGCCTGGCTATTTTTCAGTTATAGTTGTCATTGTTTGGCAGGCCTGGGCTGGATTCGAACCCGCCAGCTCTGGTATATGTGGCCAGAGCCTTAGCTGCTGAGCCACAGGCACTGAGCCATTCTTTTTCTTTCTTTCTTTTTTTCTTTTGAGACAGATTCTCACTCTGTTGCCCTGGGTAGAGTACTATGGAGTCATAACTCACTGCAATCTCAAACTCCTGGGTTTGAGCTATTCTTCTGCCTCAGCCTCCCTCATAGCTGGGACTACAGGCACGCACCACAATGCCTGGCTATTTTTTTTAGAGACGGAGTCTTGCTCTTGCTCAGGCTGGTCTCTAACTTCCAGGCAGTCCACCCACCTCGGCCTTCCAGAGTGCTGGGATTATAGGCATGAGCCACCGTATCCCACCTGGAGATCTTTTTTTCCTTTACACCTTGTCTGGACTTCATCTCTTGGTTCTGAAGACATCCCAAGTCCCAAATAAAACTTCTCTTAATCCCTGAAGATGTTCAGGGGAACATCCACAGGGGACAAACCCATAGATGTTCATTTTGCCAAGGAAAACTTAAACTTGCAGCAGAGATGATC